AGCCAATCCTGCGAGTATTCAAATTGTTCCCAACAGTCTGACAGTTCAGCATCATCTCGCTGCTGCTACGGTCCAGCCAATTCCAGGTTCATCATCGCCCCTGGTTTATCATGCGCTGTTGCTGTCTCCGGTGAACCTGTCGACGATTCTCCGTTCACCTCGGAGGAACTTGTGACGCTCGTGGCCGAGGTCATCATCATCATGCGCACCTGCAAGACTCGATCTGAACAGCTACATGCTGCCCTGTCCCTTGTCACTAAGTATGGACCGTGAAGCCATCAAGATCGTAAATTGGAATGCTTGCTCCTTGAAGAGCAAAAACATCGAGCTTGTTGACTTTCTCAACGAACGGCACATCGACATAGCCGTCATCACCGAGACTCACTTGAAGCCCGAGTTGAACGTCTTTCTTCCCGACTTTCGGCTCGTAAGGCTTGACCACACCAGCTCTGGGGAAGGTGGAATGGCCATCGGTGCGAGACGGAACATCAGGTGCCGGCTACTACCAAGCTTCCAACTGAAAATAATCGAAGCCATCGGAGTTGAGGTGAGCACATCGCTTGGTCCAATCACCATCATCGCGGTCTACAGCCCCAAGCAAACTAACATTAGGGACGGCTCGGCCGCAGATCTCCGAAGAAACATCATCAAGCTAACACGACGGCGGCAAAATTTCGTCATCGCTGGCGACCTGAACGCCAAGTATCAAGCCTGGGGCAATAGTCGGCGAAACCAGAACGGCACAATCTTGTACAACGATCTGCAGGAAGCCCACTACAACTTCCTGTGTCCGGACACTCCCACCCGCTTGTGTCGATCCGGAGCTCATGCCACCATCGATCTTCATCAGCAACATTGACGATAACATCTCTGAACCTATCGCCTATCAGGAACTGAGCTCGGACCACTATCCGGTGGTGGCCGAAGTAAGTTCCTCGGCCAATAGATTTCAAGTTTCCCGGCGAATTTACCATCGTGTCAACTGGCAGCAGTATCAGCGCTGTGTGGACACAGCAATCGATTATGACGTCCTACCGGAGTCGATCGAAGAATTCGATCAGTGTCTGCAAACCATCGAAGAGGCGATATCCCGTGCCAGGGAGCAACACGTACCAGCATCCAGACAGGTGAGTCATACTCTGAACCTTGACAGTCCAACCAAAGATCTTATCAGGCTCCGTAACACCATTCGTAGGCAGTTCCAGCGTTCTGGGCTGCCCCACTTGAAGACCAATGTCAATAGGCTAACCAAAATTATCCAGGCCAGGAAGGTGGAACTCAGAAAGAACGATTTTGCCAACAAGATTCGCTCTCTCCCAGACTGTGCAAAACCATTTTGGAAGATGACCAAAATTTTGAAAAATATGTCGAGACCAGTCCCTCCACTTTCCTCTGTTGACCAGAAACTTGGACCCATCCCTACTCATAACCTCAGTTGCTGGAAGATAGCCAAAGTGATTCCAATACACAAGCCTGGCAAAGATCCTACCAGTGCCAAAAGCTATCGCCCCATCAGCCTCTTGTCTTCCATCTCGAAGCTATTCGAAAAGTTGATACTCAGCCGATTGCTGGAGTTCGAACGAAAATAAAATCTTATTCAAGGAGAAATTCGGGTTTAGGAAAGGCCATCCAACGATCCACCAACTAAGAAGAGTTACTAACATCATCAGGTGGAACAAGTCCGTTTCGGAAACATCTGCTATGGCATTGCTGGACGTTCGGAAGGCGTTTGACAATTTATTGCATGATGACCTAGTGCACAAACTGCATCGATCTATCTCGTAAAGATCATCAAAAACTACTTGTCGGGCAGATCATTCCAGGTCTACTTGATCAATGTCCCCTCTGATGCGTTCAACGTTGATGCAGGGGTCCATCAGGGTAGCCTGCTTGGGCATATCCTAAATATTCAATATTTTCACGTCAGACGATCCTCCCCTGCCGGGTGGTGGTATCCTGTAAATGTTCACAGATGACACGTCCATCATGTATAAGGGTCGAGTGATCCGTGCTCTGGCGAGTAATCTACAAGCAAGCCTGGATGTTCAGGCTATTTCAAGAGCTGAAAGATTTGTATCAATGTAGCTAAAACACAAACCATTCTGTTTCCACACTCGAATTCACCTCGGCTTGTTCCGCCTGCTAACGTCAAGGTCCACCTTGATAGCACTCCCATTGAATGGTCGAGTGAAGTAGTCTACCTTTGTCTCACCCTCGATCGCAAATTGCTATTCCGATACCATGTGGACAAGACATCCATCCATTTATCTTGATCAGGTCGCTCTACCCTCTGATAAACAGGAAGTCCACCTTGTCCTTCAAAAACAAGCTTGCTGTCCACAAGCAGATCATTCTGCCGGCTATTGAGTATGGTATGCCAATCTGGGAGAGTTGTGCTAAGTGCCACCACCTAAAGCTTCAGAGGATCCAAAACAAGATCCTCAGAATGATCCTTAACAGTCCACCGCGAACTCGTAATTCTGAGATTCACCACCTGGTCGGTCTTCAAACACTCGAGGAGTGAAAGACTTCCACGCTGGAAAGGTTCAGAGTCGTCTGTCTGCGATCAAACCACCAGATCAAGTAGGTAGGTTATCAATTTTTTAAATTCAAACCAAAACAATCCCATAGAGGGTATCCTGTAAACTAGCGCTAAATGCAATCATCACATTAGAATAACCAATTAACTAGAACAAAGATGAAGAGCCAAAGGCTAACCAATTGAAATGCTAAACCAAATTTTGAAACATAAAAAAACCAGAAAATAAACGTAAATTTTACTACTAACACTGTTCAAGCGTCAGTTTGTGTTAGTTCCTTATGAGAGTCTGGACTGGCTAATGTAAATGTTAACAAAAACTGCTGTTCAGTCAAATTGTGTTTCCAGATGAAAATGAAATATTTAATGCTCTGGTCTTACGTCCCACCAGTCCTCCTATTCCAGCACAGTGTTCCAAAGTGTCGAGGGGGGCAACTAATTCTCAACCTCCATTTGTTGAGAAAGAGAGAGAGAAAGACATGCGACAGGAAAAAAAAAGTTTCTAAAGGCTTTGAAAAAGCCTACCCAAGGCTGATTTTCCAAACACAGCAAACCGTAATCACGTACGCTGGCTCTTCCGGAAGGTATATGGGTCTTTGTCGCCATCATTGTCGAATTCGTTGCCGGTCGTTTTTGCTGTCATCTTTGCTCCATAGTGTTAGTCGTAGGTACAAGGGGGTTGTCATCTTCTTTTGCTTCTTCAAAGAGACAAACGGAAGCAATGATGGTGGGCTTCTGGAAACCATCAAGATGCACTGCACATCCGCTCAAGTACAACGAGGACAACCAGAATGGGGTTGCAGTCAGTGAGGCCAAGAAAATGCCGGTGGTTGATGTTGGAGATGTTTCCGACACTAGGAGGAATATAAATGATAACGAAAAGGTGGAATAAATTTACCTTGTGGGGACAGAGCGACATAGCACTGGATTATACCAAACAAACGACTGACGTTGTTTGCTTCGGCAAATCCTGTCTGTTGGGCTGGGCAAGCGTGAACATGGACCCGGTCCGGAAGTCAGATTTTATTTGACGCAAGCAACAAGACCTTCATCCGTTTCCTTTTCGAAAATGTTGGTTTATTTGGCTGATCACTGTTGTTGTGTACATTTTAGGTGACAATCGTTCCGGGAAAGTTTAAAAAAATTGAGTTGGATTTTTTTGTGGTAATGATGAATATTTTTGAATAGCACACAGCATTGAAACACGGTTGTGATAAGCCTCAGCAGAAGCATAAAACCATTAGCCCTCCGATTGAGACAGTAGCAAATAACAGTTAATGGTGTGAAAGGTTGCATCGAGTAGCAAATGGCTCTTGGTCCTATTTCCGCTGGCTCACAGGAAAGCAATCTATCATAGCTGTACCTTCCAGGGTCGATCCAGACTCTACATGCCTAATCTGTTACATCCCACCACAACAGCAGGCTATCCACAGTACGATAGTTACCAACAGGATCGCTCGTCGAGGTCCTCATCCTTCTCCGTCGTCGTCGGTTGTTGTGACGGAAGGACGTCGTTGTTGGAACGGAAAAGTTTCTGCGGGTTTTGTGTTAATTATGGTTGTCTTCCGTCAAACCGGTGCGGTGTACATCTACGTGTTGTCGATGTGGTTCCTCCCTTTTGTCGACTTTCAATTTGCACAGTCATTAGTGTGTTGTTTGCGAAGGATTGACCTCAGAAACAGGGGACCTGGTTCTTGATGAGACATCTGTACACGAGAAGAATTCGAAAAGAGAATTGTACGGAAGTATTAAGTTTGAGGTTCATCAAGCTGGCAGGCACGCACTTTTTCATATCCTACCACCACAAAACAGCTAGATCGATCTGATTAAAGTTCACGTCTCAAACTTCCATCCGTGTACGTCGAAATCAACACCCGTACAGCCTTCTTGGAGCTTGGACCCTCAGCAAGTCCGTTTGAGTTTGCATTGCACAGAACCAATCGTGAAGTCAACTTTGATTGCGTGCTTCAAAGTTTCCCCAGAACTTGGGAACACAACTGATCTTCCCGGTGCGCTAATTGGAGGGTTTCTACCCCCCCCCCCCACAACACTCTAACTGGCCATCATCGTCGAATTCGTGTGCGGTTTCTGTGGTATTTAACATTAGCGCATTTCAACCAACCGGAACCACGTTTGTGTTGTTTGTTTGTTCGTGAAGCCACGAGCCCGGTGTTCCTTGGCTGATTTACTATCCTTGTACGTCCGTCCCGCGTTAAAACTTGACTGCAGATTCATTATGGCTGTTTGGCACGGCAGAAGACAATACTTTTCCCTCAAGTGACTCGAGCGTGAGAATGCAAAATACCGATGGTGAGACTGGGGTATTTCCAAGTATGGCACGAGTTTTACTCGTTTTCTTGTTTTACACTTTTCAAACCAAACTGTATTTGTACGACACGAATTTTGCTAACGTGATTTTTCACCTGCTGATTTTGTTTTTTTTTTCCTGTTCCACTTTCAGAATCTCGTGTCAGAAGCAACCGGAAAGGTAAGTTGTGTATTCACATGGATAAATAGTGCATCGCCCGGGGATGATGGAAAAGTTTATTTTGGTCGCAAACACACCAGTCAGTGAGCTTTGGTATGACGGCGGTGGTTTTGTCAGCATGTTCCTAGCGAGGAATCGACGATGCAGAGCTACGGACACGATTTCGATGGGGATTTTGCGAAAGAGACTGCTAGGGGTGAAGCAGAAGGCATGTTTTCTGTACTCGTTTGAACCGGGCGATGAAGTGACCGGAAATTTTGTGGCACGTTTCCCTGTGGTGGGTACGACATGGGCGCTTACAGTTTTTTTTTTTTGGGAACGAGAGGACTTTCATCCGTGTCCAACACGGAAGGTAATCCGGGATGGTTTTGCTCCAGGAAATGCACTACTTTCAGTTGGATGCAATGGTCATCGTCGCCGTGGTCGTTGCTAGTGCATGGCATTTTTAATCAAGTTTGGTTATCTGCTCGGGTGCTCTATTTAAGAATTTTGTTTGATTTCATCTGGTTTCCGATCGAAGGCAGAGACCAGAGTATGTGGTTTGATGAATTGGCCTTCAATCAATCAGCACAAGAGTGAGATGGGCATTGGCGTAGCTAATGGGGGTGCCAAGGGGGCCAGGCCCCCTCCAGAATTTTCGGTGTTTTTTGACTCACCGGTATTTTGTCAAGCTTGTCAAGTTCGATGTTACTATTTAACGGCCATTTATCAAATTGGACCACAAACAAACAAGTTCTTTATGTTGACTACTTTTCTTATGTTTTGGACTAGAAGAAACAATTTTGAGAAAGTATACTATATCGATATTTAATCTATGGCATAATAAGACGCCTTGTGGTAATACAAATTAGCACTGAGCCCAGGGATTTTTCTCACTGGAGTGCACAGAGTGGGGCAAGGTGGGGGCAATTGCCCCCCTTTTATAAATAAGATTTTTATTTTCACATTTACACAATTAGAATGTAAAATAACTTGATTTCTTGATAACTTGATTTGAAGGTAAAATAACTTCATTTCATAATATAAGTCACTGAAAACCTTTTATTGTGTCAATTCCTTTGAGATGGTGCCTGAAAATTGCACCACAAAGGTGCGTGAAGGGACAAACTTCAATGAAATTTTTTGGTCAAAAATTGCACTACAGTGGTGCATACAAAAAATTTCTGGTGTTATTTTTTTGTTCAAGGTGGTTAATGGAGGGTTAAAAGAAGAGGGTAAATTTAAGGTTGAAAAAATTCACCTTCGTGGTGGTAAATAGAAAAAAAAAATTTTATTGAATATTTCTGGTGCAAAAATATCATCAATGTGGTGCATGGAGGGACTAATCAAAATGAATAATTCTGGTGGAAAAGTTGAATCACGCAAAATTGAATGTAGAAGCAAGGTTTATTCATTTTTACTGGTGCATTATTTGTATCGTTCTGATGAATGCAAACTTCATTGAAAATTTATGGTGGAAGATCTGCACCATTCTGGTGCATAAAGAGGCAAAGCCAGAAAATTGCACCACAAAGGTGCATGGTGAAACAAACTTCACTGACAAGTTTTGGTGCAACGTTCTGGTGAATGGAGGACAAAATATTCATCGCTCTGATAAATGAAATGAACAGAACATTTATGGTGGAAAATCTGCACCGTTCTGGTGAACGGATGGGCCAGGTTTTCAGAAATTTTGGGTCTTAAATTTGCATCCTTCTATTCAGTAACAAATATTAATAATAATTTCTGGTGTAAAATTTGCACCATTCTGATGATTGGAGGAAAGCTGCTTTACTGAAAATTTATGATGAAAAATCTGAAAATAGGACAAGCTTTATTTGGTGGAAAACCTGCAACATTCTGATGATAGGAGAAGCCAGCTGTATTGAAAATGGAAAAAAGGAAATCTGCACGAATCAGAAGATTGGGAAGCAATTATTATTGAAAATTAACGGTGGAAAATTTACACCATTCTGGTCAATTGAAATTTTCTGGTGTAAAATCTCCTGGGGGCAAGTTTGTATTGAAAATTTATAGTGTAAGATTTGCAACAATCTGCTGTCTGGACAGGCAAGCTGAATGGACGGACAACTTAGACTTGACTTCCGAGAAGAAACTCAAGGGTATTGAATTCTGAGGACTGTTCTAAAAGAATAGATTTCTGGGGATGATCCCATGATTATTCTGCGAATAATTTCTAGTGAATCCTGCAGATAGTTTCACAACAATTTCGAAAAGAATACCGAGAGAATCAAATTTTGAATGCAATTCCAAATGGATGTTGAGAAAAATTTCGAAGGAATTCCGAGGATAATTTTAAGCTCATTCTGGGAAGAATTTCTGGAGAATACAGAGGAAATTCTTCTGAAACTTTAGGAAAATTTCAGTTCCAAGGTGTTCTAAGAAAAAAAAAAGTTCTAAATTTTCCGAGAAGAACCTCAAAGACATTCAATTCTTAGGACAGTTCCAAAATATATCTGGGGAGAATTTAAAGAAAATTTTGCGGATAATTTCTAGTGCATCCTGCAGATAGTTCCAAGATAATTTCGAAAAGAATACCGAGAAAATTAAATTTTGAGTGAAATTCCAAAGGGATTTTGAGGGAAATTTCTCGAGAGTACCTAGAGTAGCTCATTCCGGGATTTTTTTTTTTTCTGAAACTCTAAAGAAATTTCAGTTCCAATGTGTTCTGAAAACAAAAATAATGAAGAGTTCTAAGTACAATTCCAGTGGACTTCTGAAATGAATTTCAAAAGAGCTTTTAGGAGAGTTCTAAAAAAACCGAGAAGAACCTCAAGGATATTGAATTCAGAGGACAAATCAAAAGGATTTCTGGGGAGTATCCCAAGAAAATTCTGCGAATAATTTATAGTGAATCCTGCAAATAGTTCCAAGATAATTCCGAAAAAAATACAGAGAAAATTAAATTTTGAATGAAATTTCAAAGGGAATTTGAGGATAATTTCTAGCTCATTCCGGAAATAATTTCTGGATAATACTGAGGAAATTCTTCTGAAACTCTAAGGGAATTTCAGTTCCAAGGTGTTCTGAGTAAAAGTCAAGAAGAGTTCTAAAAATAATTCCATAGGACTTCTGAGAAGAATTTCAATAGAGCTCATAGAGTTCTAAAATTTTCGAAAAGACCCTCAAGGAATTCTTAGGATGGACTTTTTTGCAACTGTATAAAGTTTAAGGACAGCTTTTGGATTCCCTAATTGAAAAGCTGGTATTAGTTTGCCCTTGGTCTATTATTGTCTTACTAATAATCTTCTCTGAAAATTTCAAGTCATTTTTTTACCGTGGTTGAAAAGTTACAGCTGTTTATGTGCTTTGCAATAAATTCGAGATTGTCCTTTGCATCATGTTTAAAACATGTTGAATGTTCGGCATCAGTTCCTGTCACCCCGACTGGCGGTCCTTTGGGACAGGGTTGAGATGCTCAATCCTTCGCATAAGTCGTAATTCCGTTAACAATCCTGTACTCGCTTGTCAAAATAGTTTTTTTTTTCGCTTTTGTTCCAATCGTTACATATTTTTTAAACCTTGATAATGATCCTATTAGCCTTGGCATTTAGTTCAAAATTTGAAAAAAATAGAACTATAATTTTCGCTAAAAATGACCAAGTTTAATGTACTTGCAACGTTAATAGTAAAGTGTAACTACAACAGCATAAAAGGGCTTTTGTAAGCCTTGAAATATTCAAATATAACTGTAACGATTCCTTCAAAATATACAAAAACGTACTGTACAAAATTTCAAACAGGTAACTGAATAAAAGATGATACTAGTAGAATATATTTTCTTTGGTTCATATTTTTAATGAAGAGCATGACGCAAAACATTATTACAACGATTCCTACAGGGTTCAGAAATTGGGTTCAGAAATTGGAAGAAAGCGACCGAGTTGCTGGGCAAACACAATCGCAGTGACCCATGTTGGTAGTATGGAAGCGTGGAAAAATTTCAAAACCAGGAAGAGTATCGACGAAGAACTGGACCACCAAAAAACAGCCAGTACACAAGTAAACGTATTCAAAATGACATGATTACGTTGTTACACAATATAGTGTTGCGTAACATTGCGAAAACCTTGCGAGAAAAACCAGTGGCAATAATTGCAGATGAGACGAGCGATTGTGGCCACCCCGAGCAGTTGGTGATTGTCATCAGGTATATTGATAATGATTAAATTGCCATTGGCTGTCTGAAAGCAGTTTGCATTGAAAAAGATGAACCACCACCGGAGCGAAAAATAAATAAAATTAGCTAAATTGAACAGTAGGGAAACAGTATTGGGTGGACAGCACCATCCACCACGCACTTTAGAGTACTCCCCATCCCCAGATTAAATGCACCATAGAAAAAAAAATGCCCCTCCTTAACAAGATTCCTGTGCACGCTGGTGATTTTTCTTTAACTTCTGGGAACTTCGCAAACCTTCAAGGAATTCTAAGAAATATCATAGAAATTCAGGATACTTATTATGAATACAGCAAACTTCATAGATATTTAGATAAAGTCGTAGAAATAAGGATATTGGAAAAGTTACGAAAACTGCGTAGAAATGGAACATTTATTTAAGTTTGGGGAGCTTCGTAGAAGTTAAGGAACCATTATTTTATTTCAGGGAAGCTCATTATTGATCGGGAACCTCCAATTATTTTCAGGGCACTTTTTTGAAGCATCATGGACTTGGAATAGTTGTGGAAATTAAGTACAAATTCAAGAAATTTAGTTCGTGAAACTTCGAGGCAAATCAACAAGAAACTTAGAAGTGCAGCAAACTTTGTAGGAGTTTTGCGAATTTCATAGCATTTTGAGGAGCTGCGTAAATCTTCATATAAGAGTAACAAATAGTGAAAAAGTTCAGAGAATTGTGTAGAAGGTCTAAAAATAGTTCAATAAACTTCTAAAGGCCCAAGCACATTAGATCCAGATCGGACGCGTGGCGTCAAAGTGACAGCTAAATCTATTGTCTAAGTATCAAATTTACGCCAACGCAACGCAAACGGATCTAATG